CACAAGCAGTGAGGGAGGCTGTGGCAGGTTTCCTAACAGAAAAGGGCAGCCACACATCAGTTTAAAAGGGCTTGGAAAGGAAGGTTTTCCATGCATAGCTCTTAAGGGAGGTTAAAGCTAGGGGAAAAGTGGCTCCAGGGGAGGTGAAGTGCAGTTGTATGTTTAGTTAGGAATAATTTTTAGAGATGGTTAGCTTTCTCTACCTTTCCAGAGGATTGAGCTTGGTAGGGACTGTGTTTATTCCAAGCACTGACTAGGGCAGGTGTCCTCAAACTATGGCCTGTGGGCCACATGCAGCCCACCTAGGACTTTTTTTTTTTTTTGAGACAGTGTTTCACTTATTAACCCTCAGTAGAGTGCCATTAAGTCACAGCTCACATTAACCTCCAACTCCTTGGGCTTAGGCGATTCTCTTGCCTTAGCCTCCCAAGTAGCTGGGAATACAGGTGCCCACTACAACGTCTGGCTATCCAACTAGGACAGCTATCTGGCCCACTGAGTGTTTTTGCTGCCACTGCCTGTCCTGCTTAGCAGCTGACTTGTCCCAGGCCCTGCAGTCTGGCCCTCCAATGGTCTGAGGGACAGTGAACTGGCCCCCTGTTTAAAAAGTTTGAGGACCCCTGGACTAGGGGATTAGATATTCCTTGGGTTATTTGAGATGTGAAGGAGGGTCCATTGTCTGAAGAATGGGAGGTGGGAATTCCAAAGTGGGGAATAATTTCTGTCAGTAAAATGTGGACTGTATCTCCAGTCTTTCCTGTAGTGAGAGAGAAGGCTTCCATCCAGAATGAAATGGTATTCACAGGGGTGAGAAGTATTTTCATCTTTCTACAGGGAGCATGTTGGTGTAATCTATTTCCCAGTCTTGACCTTGGCAGTGGCCTCTAGCCTGATGTAGTTGGGAGAGAGAAGAGGTGAGACCTCCCTGTGGGGAGGTGGCTGCACAGATGGTACAGGAAGAGATTTGTTCTAGAAGAGAGTGCATATTAGGGCACCAAATAAGAGGTTCTAGAAGGGTCTCAAAGCATTTTAGTTTTACATGAAATAGGTTGTGGAGTTGTGTAGGTTGTGGAGTTTTGTAAACACTTGAGTGCTTTGTTCTGTGGGGAGAAGTTAGTTTTCTCTTATGTACCATCTTTGTTGTGTAGGGAGGTTTTGGTTTGATATGTTCAACCACGTCCTCTGAAAGATACTAGGGCATGATCAAGGGGAAGAGGAGGATGAGAAGGTTTGGGAGAAATTGGATGAGGACAGCTTGACTTGCTGTGAAATCAGTGAGATGTTTGCTCTGAAATGTAGGGTTTGATGGATATTGTTGACCTTTACAGTGAATGACTGCAATGCAGATGGGCTATAGGGCTGCCTAAAGGAGTTGTTTCATTTGAGGTCCAAGCCCTATGGGGGACCCAGTGTGTTGAGAAAAACTCTTTCAGCCCAGAAACCAACATGATGGCATAAAATGTGAATAGTGTATTTTTAATCTGTGTATATAATGATTGGTTTTTTTCCCCAGAATGTTGTAAGGCTTGGGTGAGGGTGGCAACTTTATTTTTTGGAAAGAAGTTCCTAGAGAGAGGTTTGGCCTGAATGATAGTAGAGGGAAGGCAGGTGATGGCTTAAGCTCCCTGTCTCTGGCCTTTGTGCAGGAGTGAACTGCCATCAGATGTGGAGTGGATTTGTAAGTGGGGTTTCTGATATATTAGGAAAAACGTTATGGATATGTAGTATGACTTCCTCGCATAAATGTATGCATTCTGGGCGTGGTAATGGAAATAAAGAGGCTGGACCTAAAGGAAAAAATTAAAAATTAAACACTGGGATTCTAGACCACAGAGGGGAGCATAACACTGGGACACTCTACACTTAAGGCATGAATGAACTAAAGAACCAAACCAAGAAAAGAAACAGAGTTGTGGGGTGTATAGACCTAAAAGGAGACTGATTAAAGTTATTCGAAAATTTAACTCACATTTGAATAGCAGGTGGGATGAAATCCTCTAAGACTCTCTAAAAGGAAGGTTACCAGAAGCTGATCTGGGGACAACTGTAATCAGGTCTGAGAAAACTAGGGTGACTAGGGCAGCTGGCAGTGAGATACAACTAGCCTGCCAGCCAGCTAATCCATGACCACATCTTAGTCACTGCACCCTATGAAAGGTGTAAACAGTTGTACCCACAGACAAAACTGCAGCAGGAGAGAAGTTTAGGTCAGTTTTACTGCAAAGAGGAAGGTGACCTGCCAAAGCATTGCAAAGATAGCATCTGAACCTGGGGGACACTTAGAGAACACTTTTATATGGCATTGTAGGGGAGGGAAAATTGCACAGATTGCCTTTCAGGTTAGGGTCTTTGATGCAAGTTTCTGTGGAATGTGATTAGCCAGATCATTTGTGTCTTTTTCTTAGGAACAGAGGAGAAGGAAGGGAAAAGGGTTTGTGTGTGTCTGTGTTCTGCTCCCAACATAGATGACACTTCATAACACTTGTCCTGATGCTATAGTCAGACTCTGAGAGGCTACAGGAAAGGATAGTCAGATATCTTACAAGTTCACGTTGGTCACTGAGGTCTTAGGAAGGTGGTGGCTAAACAGTGGACAGGGTACTCAGGAAGGGCAATGGTTCTATATGGAGACCTAGAAGAAGGACTGAAAGGAGTGCACTGTAGGATATACTGTCACCACAGAGCTCTGATGACTTCATTACCCCAGGGATCCCTCTGCAGGAATCCCATGACTTCCTTGGGAATCCCAAGTTCCCCATTCTCTTCCTGCTTGCAGGTCTTTGTTCTGTGCTTCTATATCACGTCAGATCTGCAAACAAAGGAAGCCACAGCCTGTTAAGAGTTAAAGGAAGAACTCTGAATATGTTACACAAAGTCCACTCACACCAGAACAGGGGGGACTCCCATGGTGTCTTGCCCTAGTTATTAGCACCACGAAGCAGCCATAGCAGTGAATGGGCAGTATCCTAAATCACTTCCTGCCTACTGACTCAAGAAGATGAGATATTCATGAAGGCACAGTAGGTGGCATTAGTTGTAAGAGTAGTAAGGCCCCTTATCCAGCCGAGTCAAATTGCCCAAATGAAAACTGAGGGGCTATACCCCTTAGAAGAAACGGGATCATGAAATTCCAGCACTGCTTTTTTTATCATCTTTTGGAGAATATGGATCAACCTAGATGGAGGTGACACCTCACAAAATTCTCCAGTGTTACATGAAGATGGGGGCTTTGGACTTAGGTGACAAAATTAAGTTATAAAAAAATAAAGAACTCCCGGGCTTGCCTCAGTGAGAACTGAGGGCACTGACCACACCAGTGCAATGGCTTGTGTGGAATGCATCTCCTGCTGCCACCCCTGGGAAGCTATAGCTTGGGTAGCTGGAGGAAGGACCTCCATACGTCTTCAAGACTTGTCCTAGTAGATGTGACTTGTTCTCAGGCTGGGAGGGAAAGCCTCATATTAGCACAGGAGAGGAGACATAGGCCCTAGTATATGACAAGTTAGTAGGAATTCTGGTCCTAATCCGAGGCCTGACTTTTCTCAGAACAGATGGGGCTCTACAGAGCCCAATAATAGCTGTCCACTTGTGAACCCAAACATCTGGTTTGGGGTTGGTTGGTAGCACCCTGAAGAGGATTATCATTTTCTCGTTCAGGTTCTTGGGTGACCCAGAAATAAAGACACAAGTCACCTAGCTTCCATCACAGATACTACAGCAGATTTAGCAACTGAGGACACTGACATCTTACCTCTCTCCCTTAGGCACTGACTCTGCATTATCCACCTTCCTTTGCTGACTCCAGCTTTCTGCTACCAGCAAGGGAAATCATGCCTCTGCCTCTGGATGAAAAGAGTTCACAATGCACACAAGATCAGCACCTTCACACCCAGAGTGAGACCCAAAGGCTGGAGAATGCACAGGTCCCCAAGTCTATGGAGGAAATCTTTCCCTCCTTCTCCAGCCTGCTAATGCCAGTCAGGCTGAACAAGGCTCCTGCTGCTAAGACACTGAGTACTCCTGAGGGTCCTGAGAGTTCCTTCTCCACTTCCATTGCCATCACAGCTACCTCATCAAGTCAACCTGATGAATCCTCCAGGACCGAAGAAGAAGAAAAGAATCTGAGCACCTCAGAAGATACAGCAAAACCCAGGAATATGTCCATCGATGCTCTAGAGAAAAAAGTGGCTTTCCTGGAGAGTTTCCTGCTGCTGAAATATCGAATGAAAGAGGTAGCCACAAAGGAAGATATATTGAAGATTATCATCAAAGATGATGAAGACCACTTCCCTGAGATCTTCCTGAGAGCCTGTGAGCACATGGAGATGATCTATGGCCTTGATGTGAAGGAAGTAGACCCCACCAGCCACTGCTATGGCATCTTCATCAAATTGGGTCTCACCTACGATGGGATGCTGGGTCCTATAGAAGGCTTGCCCAAGACCGGCCTGCTGATCCTTATGCTGTGTTTGATCTTCATGCATGGCAACCGTGTCTGTGAAGAGGAAGTCTGGAGAGTGCTAAATATAAGAGAAATATATTCTGGGCAGAAGCACTTCATCTATGGGGAGCCTAAAGAGTTCCTCACTAATGATTTGGTGAAGGAAAAGTATCTGGAGTACCGCCAGGTGGCCAACAGTGATCCTGCACGGTATGAATTCCTGTGGGGCCCAAGAGCCCATGCTGAAACCAGAAAAATGGAAATCCTAGAGTTTCTGGCAAAGATTCATGGGACTGACCCAAAGTCTTACCCATCTCAGTATGAAGAGGCTCTGCGAGAAGAAGAAGAGAGAGCTCAGGCACTCTCAGTCAGGGCTGCCTCTACATCCATGGCCACTGCAAGTTCCAGTGCTGTGTCTGGCAGCTTCTCGGAAACCTAGCGAAATGAACAGTCCCTTCTTCACATATTTGAAGAGGGCAGGTCATGTTCAAAGAATGTAGGTCCAGGGTGGAGCTGGGGGTGAATAGTGTTTGTTATCTATATATGCCTGTTTTGTATGTGTAAGCTGACAATTTATTCTTTTATTTTTTGATGAGTGTATTACACAAGTGTTATTTCTTTTAGTAAAAATTTAATTATCTTCAGTACCTTTATGTTGAAAATAATATTGGTGACACTTGAAAACTATTCACAAGGTTGACTCATAAGAGCTTTCCTCATGCTATAAAACCATACATTTTATTTTGTGATGTGAGGTAAAGTGGCATTTCAATAGGCATTTCCTCTGAAGTATGGAAGAATTGAGCATTCAAATAGTTGGGATCAGTTGTAAGAACTAGGAAAGCATATTCATCTCTATCGTTTTTATCTTTGTCTTTGTTCTGAAAAATTATAATATTTACATCAATTTACTTAGCTCTTTCCAGAGTGTATATGAAATAAATATTAAAAAATTAGATCTCATGTTTACTGGTTTCTTTAACGCAAAACTTGCATTGGACACCTGCTGTTTGTGCAGCATTTTAGTGGTACCAGGGATGTTAGGATTAATGTTTCTAGACCTACTCATAGAATTTTATCATAGGAACTATCATTTTCTGAGATTTGTGATAGAATCTTCTAAAACCTTAAGTTTAATTAAAAAGTAGATGGAATCAGGTTGAGATGGACAGTCCCCGTGAGCCAGTCCAGTGTTTACCCTGAAGCATGGCAATTTGTGGGTTTTGAAAACTTCATATACTTTGGTGGAAATTAATTTTAAATTAAGCTAGATAGTGTGCAAGGTGAGGCTGAGGACATTGTGAACAGGACCAGACCCTCAAATAGTTATGTCAGCATAGAAAACCAAAAGCATATAGAGGAAAAAAACTTGCTATCTATTACATTTTGGTCATGGGTATACCAGAGAGAGATTCTCACCTGTAACAGGAATGGAAGTTATCCTTCATTTGTACCTCAATGCAATTGAACACAGTGTACAAACTAAGTGTTCTATACATATCATCTTCAGTGAGTTTACATGAAATAAGAATGATACTCTTTTGAGATTAGATACCTGACATCTACTGTGGGTCACTCTGCCATGGCCCAGGAATGCCAGTGCCCACTTCTTTCAAAGGAGGATATAAATTGATTGTCTTCCGTGTAATTTGGCTAGGAACAAGGAAGAGATAAATTTTTGGTATAGGAGAAATAAATAAAAAGAGAGAGAGTGTTGGGTAAGTGTAGACTGGCACCTGGAACAAAGGGAGGAATTGATCCTTGATAGAAATTCTATGAAATCTGAATTACATTAAATTGTAGAAAACACCCCCACTCCAAATTAAATAACCATCTCCAAGGCAAAAATTTTACTTGCTGAAGGACCTTTTGGTGTGATTTGCTATTTCATATCCCATTGAATTCTCTGTTTTCTGCAAAAGCCTGGATTTAGAAAATCCTTACACATATACATATGCACACACAAGGGAGGATGGTAGGATTTGTGATCCCCTTTGGGAACATGAGAAAAACTGCTACTAGCTAAGGTCCTAAGATACATCAAGTTATCATGTCATGTGCTGCATTTACTTAAAAAGCTTTCCAGTTCTCAGGCTCAGAGACCTTGTGATTATGTCCAATTTTTTTGTTGTTGTTGTTTAACATTAAGTGTACAAAGAATTAGGTTATACTGATTGCATTTGTTAGATAAAGTCCCTGTCCTAATTTTAGCCACCCCTGAGCGCTATGTCACACACTGAGTCCAATTTCAAATGTCTAGGATATTAGAGAGCTGGAGCTAGGTGGCTTCTTTGAATTCACCTACAGCTTACTCTGTTCTACTTTTTCCAGCTCAAGTCAAACCTTCGTCTCTTTCTTTATTTCTCTTATCACTATCCTTATTGCCTCTCAGGATACATATGGAAGGATGTAGCCAATAAACTTAAATCAGATATAAAGAAGGAAGGTTGAAATAAGATTTAAACATCATGTAAGATGGCCTGTGGGTTTAATTTAACTATATCCCTGCTTCTTGTAACTCTAGTGTTCCTTCAGAGCTGACTCTGTGCAGGGGCTGGCATTTTCTCTCTGCATTATAGTGCCCATCTCCTAAGTCTTCTCCAGTCCTCTTGTCCAAACTGGAAATTGACCTGTTGATCTTCATGACACCCTTCTCTGAAGGCTGCACTCTGACCTCAAGTGAAAAAGAACAGGGCAAAATTACCTGCCTTTCCCCTGATTTAGAGCATTCCAACTCTAGCAATCTTTCCCATCACAGTGGTATTATACTCATAGGAACATGCTGTTCTATATAGAGGCGACTTTGACAGTGAAAAATCTGACCTGACCTCCCAGTTGTGTCTCTACCACATCCACAAAATGTTTTCCTACAGAGCTAAGTATAGTCCAATTTTGCCTAAAACCTATGAGTTTAGCAGATATAATGCTGAAGATGGAGAGATTTTGAATCCACCCAAATATTTGCAGTAGAATTTAATAAGTTTTTGCATTTGAGACTGACCAATGAATACATAGACCAATGAGTGATATTACCAATGTTGTTAAGATTTTCTCATCAATGATAGATAAGGAAATACCAAATATCGTGGAGCTCATTGCTTAGCATAAATCAACTGATGATTTATTTTCTAAAATCCCTGGAAACCTCAGAGTGTAAATGCAGTTCACTGGGAGGCATGTTATCGTTGGTTGGCAAAGATAAAAATATTTCAGTATCCATCCATTGCCTCTTATTTCTCTGCTTTACCCACAAGAATATTCTGTTCTTTCCTTGTGTCTAGTGGCATGTGTACAAGTGTTCATGTATGTTCAGTATACTTGAAGGTAGCAGGACTTCACAGATTTAGCCATACACTAATAATAAGAAGAAAATTCTCATACTGTTCAAATTTTGGATGTTATTACATACATCAGCACACAAACGTAGTATGGAATTAAAAAGGCAAAGCCTCACTGGTAAGATTTTACAGGGCCTTTAAAAAAATTGATGTGAACTTGTGTTTGGCAGCAACTGTCCAACATAGAGGGATCCAACAGAATAGTATCTCAAAACATTTGGAGAATGTCAAGGAAATTTGGCATGCTGGGAAACTGCCAGGAAATGAAGAGGGTGATTATCAAAAAGATTCTAACAGTTCCTCTCTGTTGAGTCTCAACTGTGTATCATTTCATGGGAGAGATTGCATGTGCTCATCCACATCTTGTCTTCCTCTCCTTCCTGGGTTCATGGTCAGACTACCTTACCAAGTGTCCCTGTAGTTAAAATAATCATGTGACCTACAGCTTGAACTTTTTACCTTAGAAATGAAGAAAAAGTATCCAATGTATTCAGTACTATTATGAAACCAATTTATAATCACTCACATTTTCATAAGAAAGATAAATCACAACTATATCCCAAGTTGAGGGAGGGAAGATGAGGGGAATAAGAGGGGGAAGGGGAGATTCGATGGAAGGAGGATCAATGGTGAGACCATTCTTATGGTTCATCTTGCAAGGGTACATGTCAAATCTATTAAGTTTAGAGTATAAATGTCTTAACACAATAATTAAGTAAATGAGGCAAAGGCAATATTAACTAGTTTGATGTAAGCATTCCTAATTGTATATAAAATCAGCACTTTGTACCCCATGAAGGCATTAATGTATACATGATCTATATGCTTATGACTTAATAAAAAAAAAAGAAATGAAAACAATGTCACCTAAACATATGTACACTCATATTAATCTGAAATGAAGAAAATGTTAAAAATCATGTGACTAGCCCTGGCCAATGCTATACATAAATGAGTCAACGTCCTATTTGAAATTTTCAAGCCAAGATAGTTTATATCCAGTTTGCAGCTGTCCATGCTTTTTCTTCCATTCAGCAACAAACATGAAGATCATGTGTTTATAAGGTGGAACTGCAAAAGGAAAGCAGCCTCGACCCCTGTGCTGCCTGTCAGCACAGTGTCTTCCAAGCCACATATTTGTTTTCCTTTTTTCATTAGTTCCAGCAGGTAGGTAAATCCCATCTTTGTTACTCCATCTTCACTAAAGGTAGAAGTTGTATAATTCATAAGTAAATATAAACTATTCCAGCATGCAAATGTGTCAAATGAAAAAGCCTTCATTTCAAATGCACTAAAATTAAAATTAGCATAGAAAAACTATGGGAAACACAAAAACACATATACATATAATTTTGACCTTTTGTAGGTAAGGTTGACTTATTGACCTCTTTTCACTGAGCATAATGATGCATGCATCTTTCATCTGTCATCTGTTATGATGGGGTGAGGATAAGGGGGAATTGGGGAACGCTTGCCCGGTCCTTCTATCCCCTAGCCTGTGCCAATGCTGGAGCCACAGGATGAGCCTGGAGCATAGATCCTGTCAGAAACAAAGTAATAAGGCTTTACTGAACAGAAGGAGGCAGGTCCCAGGCCTGGAGTTTATTTAGGAGCACTTGCTGGATGGGCAGGGGAGCAGCTGTGTGAAGCTGGCAGGAGAGTCCATTTTACCTTTCTAAGGTAAAGTTCAAGCTGTAGGTCACATGATTATTTTAGCTACAGGGACACTTGGACAGCACCCCCAAAGCCAGGAAGCCACACCTGGATGTCTATACCTGCTTGCAGGCAGGAGAACACCTGCAAGGCATTTGGAGCTGGGGTTGGGTAGAGGCAACACCTGCTACTGACATTATAGTTAACAGCTACACAGTGTCTGCGTAGCAGGGTGTGGGGGAGAGGCACATCAAATCACTTCTGGAGAGTACTGCCCTGGCCCAGGTCTTCAATAAGGAAAGTGGGGGAGGGAGTGACAGGGATTGGGGCCTGAAATATGGTCCAGGAGCTATCACACCTGGGCAGGGACTTTAACCAGTACCTGAGAGTTTCACTCCAGCTAAGGAAGGATCTTCCAGGTGAGGTGACAAGTGAGAAGCCCCGTAAA